CCTTGATCGCGTATTGTAGCGCCTTTATATAGGGCTCTTCCACGAAAACATCCAGAATATTCCAGAATATTCAAGTAAATACGCGCGCCAACCGACCAAGCGCAGAAAATTCAAGAGTAAGCTTCCAGAAGCTTAGTTCTTCGTTTCGACAACAGATGGCGCTGTCGGTTGAAAGATAAGTGATGTCATTTTCTGGAAAGCTCTCCCCTCGCTCCGTTACCCGACACTAGATGGCGCTAGTGCCAGATGTCAACTTAGCCGCGCAACACTATGATTGTGGTACCATATCATACATCATATTATATAACTAAAGCCTTTTCAGAAACCGGTTTGTTTAGGAACTATGCTTTAACAAAAAGTAACTTTGCAGTGGCATAAACGTTCTCCCAAATATCATTTTGCATCACGGTCGATCTTCCAACGGCAAATGTGACTTATTTTTCCAAAATCATATTTTTCATGTGTTATATTTATTTTACTTTAATTGTGCGAGAGACCTTGCTTCTCCTTAAATTTCATAATTCTAACTTAACCGAAGTATCCCACAAGTTAACAGTTAGGGTTTGATAAATGAATTTGCAAGTACCAAAATATGAGACATAAATGATCGTATTTTTTGTATGCGTTGATTTTTTTACATCTCCAAGGAGCCGAAGAATTCAGTGTTCGATATTAATTTATAATTGATACCTCTACCCGTTCCTAAGGAAAATGGATTAAACGCTCTTATGGACGAACGTACATCAAAAGGGTCCTATAAGGGTTCGGTTTTTTCCCGTTGAGATATGAAAGCTAAAAATATTTGTCGTTTTTATGTTGTTATGTCTTGTCATAAAAGGGTAGGGGTTTTTTCCGTTGAGATATAAAAGCCTAAAAAACTAACGCAGTTGTGTTGTCGCTAGCTGCGCAATCTCATTGCTGATCCAATAACGAACATTTTGCGTAACGAACATTTTCGCACAAATTTTGGTCGCGGCAGAAGCCGGAACCCACGCCTGTTATGTTACTCTAATCGCTAATTAAGGTCATTCGACGTATAATTTCTTAGGCAATAACAAAGCGCCTAAACATGTAGCAACATGTGTTATAGTTAGGCAACGTTTTATTTCGTGTACCCTTCTTGTATCAGTTGCGAAAGTGTCGTATGGCATACGTCCGGCTGAATCATTTGTGCGTTTAGTAATAAGTCATACTTATAAGACGTTTGCTAACGACTGATAGTATATAAGCCAAGGATTCTTAGCGAAATGAACGAATCAGCTATAAGTACAGTTAAACCTGGTTAATTGGGATTTCATGGGACCAAGGATTTTGTACTTCATTTAGTTTCAATTATCCAGTTTTCCAATTAGACAGGTTTAAATTTTAGTTGTCTCATTTATAGAGGCCCCGTGTCGAAAATTTATATATTAACTTAAATAATCGTCACGAAACCTGTCCCAATCTGATAAATTGTCTCACTTATAAAGGGAATTGAGCTTCAGAGCCCCAATTATAGAGGTAAACACAATGATTTCAAAATGAAGGATAGGCCCATCTTTATATTTTACTCATAACTTTTTCATACAAGAAAAAGTAGCGCATCTGTCATAAAACAAAAGTCATATCAAAACACGACGTAACCAGGGTCGGAGTTCGTAGTATAATTATTCTAATTGTACCATTATTTCATAGTTTGTATTATATAGTATCGTAATAATACAAAGCGAAAATGCCAAAATTTTACCTAAAGGTCGACTTGTATTATTATTCGGTCCTTTTACATTTTAATATTAACCCTACGTTATCGAGAATTTTCGTATTGTACATGAGTACCGCGTTCTTTTAATAAAATTAGAATTAGCTCCCTTTCTGGTTAATCGATGCTCGATCGCATTTATGTTGCATCCTTAATACAACTATAATGAGGGACTACCACGATAAAAACTCTATGCTCCAGAAGCAATCGGTTTGAAAACAGAATTTCAAAATATTTTTAGAACAGATTTTCAGACTCAATTAAGCAGATATGGTTTCTTTTGTAATCTTTTCGCTTTACCCTTATTGAACATAAAATATATTAGGTACCAATATTTAAAATTTAACTAACAGTAAGTTCTTTAGAGAAAAATTAAACAGAAATAAAAATAAAACCGTCAAAAAACGAAACGTATGAAAATAAACTAGACGTGACGCCAAAATCCCGGCACATGGGAAAAAAGAAATATGTAACGTCAAACGTGATATAATTTTTTTTTAAATAGTATAATTTTAATTTCCATGTACAATATTTTTGAGGGTCTAAATCCAACCCTGGGCTAATCTTGATAACGTAACTAAACTAACTGTAAAATAAAACTTTAAAAGTGCGTTTATATAATAATTTAACTGTAACAAAATTAATATAAGGTTATTTACCGATGATACGATATCCCATGTTTTTTTCAAAACTTTGTATTGTAATTTTTGCATTCTTTTACCACGCAACTAGACATATTTATGACATGATTAAAACTACTTTTACGGATTTTATCGCGTTTATTTTTACTTTTTATTTTTAATTCCCGACGTTTCGGGCGCTTTCCAGCACCCATGGTCACGGGGGACTGAGATGACTGACGTCCCGATGTCATTGTTAAACCCGGAGTACCTTCAGCTTTTTTAATTATTGTTTATGGTCCGATCTATGCAAAATGAACTGACTATGTCCTGAGGATTCCTACCAAGGATGATACGTGAGGCTATTGAAATTAAAAAAACATCCTAATTTCAATAGAGAAGGAGGCTGGGTACTACCACCTGCTTGGGATCCTATAATCAATAAAATTAAAACTATACCCAAGCATATCACTGCAAGACCTGAGGACATAGTCAGTTCATTTTGTATAGATCGGACCATAAACAATAATTAAAAAAGCTGAAGGTACTCCGGGTTTAACAATGACATCGGGACGTCAGTCATCTCAGTCCCCCGTGACCATGGGTGCTGGAAAGCGCCCGAAACGTCGGGAATTAAAAATAAAAGTAAATAAAAAGTAAAAATAAACGCGATAAAATCCGTAAAAGTAGTTTTAATCATGTATAGTGTTCGCGTAAATATAAGAAATCATATTTATGACAGGCAAATCTGTCCTGCGCGCGCACTTCTGTCGATCGATTCGCGTTGGCCCTAAACTGCAATTTTAGGGCCAGCGCACTGGTCCGTTTTAGTTGTTCGGTCGGCCCGGTCCTTACGCTAGTAAAATATAAGTCAATGGGTAAATATCGAAAAAATTCTAGAACTCACATCTCTTTTAACCAGGTTCGAAAAGTCCCACTAACAGAGGTAATTCGATGAAAAAGTGTCGTGACCACATAGTAGTTCCAAATATTAGAGGTTTTTCTCTTATCCAGGTCCCACTTAACCAGGTTTCACTGTTAGTAAAAACTATTTTGGGGCTAATTTGTAATGAATAAAATCGTGTTAGATTTATATATTTTATATCCATCACAGATGTTTATGTTTTTCATTAAATGATTGTAAGAGTTAAAACCCACTCAGAAATAAGAGGAGGTCTGTATGAAGAGGTTTTAACTTAACTTTTGTGAAGATCAGCAAATAATAAATAAAGCAAAAGAAAAGTTTGTTCTTGTGGCTCGTTACAATTATTATTGACTATGATTATTGACATTCGATGTGACGTATAATTTTTTTTTAGGTTGTCGGTAATCCAAACCTACTCCAATCCTGCGCGCATAGTACTCTGTACGCTACACGTTAGAGACACGTCAAGCCTATAATAGTTTCAGTAACATGGACTTTTAACTCTACGAACAAAATAGTTTTTTAATGAACGCTAGTTCGATGGCTATAATACAAAGTAATCATTCTGCAACGTCGCCATTGCTATTTTGAAGCGACTGTTTTATTCGAATTGAGGCCCTGGTGGATTTCAAGCAATTATTCTAATAGTCTTTGCCACTCTAATTTGGTAAAAATATATAGAATGTACTACTTTTAATTTTTTAACTTTTACTTTACTTAAAACTAACTAACTAACTTTAACTTTTATTTCTTTTTACTTTTAATTTTGTAATGTATTATACGATCTTCTTTCGTAGTCACGATAAATTTCTTATGATATTTCTTCTCCCCCTTTAAGGAGCCGTGAGTCGTGGTTATTCAAGGGCTAAGCATTCGTCGTAAATTTTACAGCACGTGAGCAACCAGATTACTTTATTTATAGGATAAGGGTAATAAACGAGCATACAGTATACCTGATGGTAAGTGAATGCTACGGCCCATAGACATCTACATTTAACTAGGATTAAGAATCAAAATGCAGATGCGTTGTCACCCGTGAGGACTAATATGGAATGCCTCGATTCCTGTAAAACATATCTCCGGTTCTATACAATCACAATACGAAACACAGCAGCATTAAGCTGCCATTTATCGCTGGTATTCTGTGAGAGCGTGGTCCTTCGCTGGTCGAGCCGATCCATATATGCTACAACCGTAATATACCTGAAGCGTGGCTCTACCATGAATAAAGTTTAAGAGTATGATTCATTTAAATTGTAAGTAATGATTTACAACGCGCTTGGTGTTGAAGGAAAACATTGTGTGGAACTTACACGTGTGAGGAATGAATATTTCGTCGAAATGGGAAGTCTGCCATCATGCAATGGATCAGTGCAGTGAACTTATCAAGCCACTACTCTCTCTCTCTCTCTCTCTCTCTCTCTCTCTCTCTCTGAAATGAGAGAAGGCCTGAACCCTGCATTGGGATGTAAGGAGGCTGTAACTGAATTAATGTAAAAACTTATGAAGGAAAGATTGTATTAAAACTTACATATCTAAGGAATTAATATTTCAAGGACATGTGAAAGACGTCACCATTCAATGGATCAGTGCGGTGGACTTATCGCTCCATTACATCGGGGTGTATTAATGCTGTAAATTGTTTTAAAATACACATATTTTGTACTTCGTTAATATATCCTGTTTAAGACACATTAAAAAGTTAATATTTCCACAGCTCTTTGCAAAGGTTCGCGAGCTCCGTGGTGGAGTGGCGCCACTGCTAGGCAAGCTGCACGTTGTCATCGGTGACGTCATTGAACCTGATTTAGGTTTGAGCGAACTTGACCGATTGATGATTATACAGGAGGTCGATTTAATTGTGCACGCTGCTGCAACAATCAGGTAAACAATTCACTTATCAATAATAAATGATACTGAAAAGATACATTTGTAGTTTTAAGCCTTAACAAAAACCGTCAATATCTTATTATTTTTTTACCCTTTCATACATGTAACGAATGGAGGCAATGATATTTGTTCAGCATTTAAGAAGTAGGAATGAAAAGACAATTGAAACTCAATCAGATAATAGTTGAAATACGATACGGATAGTTTCATGCGATTTTTATATTTCGAACCTAACTCTAGCTTTTAATTAGACATAGTCGTGCAAAAGAGATTGCGATTAGTATATTATAATTCTGTAGTAGAATTTATTAATTTAATAATCTAATAAAGACCTAAGTGATTATATATAATTATCACTTTTAACAAAAAGTAAAAATCGACTAATTGCTAAAAATAAGTTATTTATTTGCAACCCTTCTCCAAATTCATATGAAACCATCTCTGAAGTATAAACTATTTAAGAAAATAAAACATTAAAATCCACTCTTGGGAGTGGAAGCTTTTCTTCAAAATTTAATGAAACCACCCTTGAAGTAAAGGTTATTTAATAAAAACAGAGTTATTAAATCAGTTTACAATCTGCTAAGGTATCACGTAACTTAAAAAAAAGAACATAGACTCGAATTGAGAAATTCCTCCTTTTTGAAGTCGGTTAAAAATAAAAGTAAAATAATGTAAGAATAACCAAACTCTTACGATGACTGTGTAATGTTATTAAATAAATAATGTGACATGTAACTACGGTAACCAGCTTTTGTTATGTTCTAGAAAAATATTTTTTTAAGTATCATATAGGAAGAATTATATACATCTACATTACTTACACATATATTATGTATATAATATAATTTTCGCAGTGACTGCCTCGTTAGCCTATTGGTGGTAAGCGTAACGAGTGATCATTAAGCCCATGGCTCGAATCAGTGTCATGTAATCTTGTTCTGCTCAAAAAACTAGTCTACATAGAGACCGGCCACAATGACCGAAATTCGTCCTTTAGAATATTATTATATTATAGTACACATTTCTTAAGGTACTTATTTATCTTAAAAATAATAAAAGTGTAATCATACTCCATTCAAACATACGAAATTTAATATTTTAGAAGTTGCTTTTCCTTAGTTGCATGGAACTTTTCTACGCAACTACCTTTAACTTGGTTTAATTCAGGTTTAAGCTGCATAGTTTCGAACAAAAACAAGCAAACGGGAATTAGTAAGCTATTTCTGCTTAAAGCGTACTAGGGGTAATTTGCTTTATAGAAAGATAAATAATGGAGTCAGGCGTCAGGCGCTATAAACATTTAAGAGACTTACCGCTTAACGTATGCCAATCCCATCATACCCTAATTTACATCACTAACTCATTTAATATTATGTATTATACTACGTAGACCATGGATTCTAATAGAACTTTCACATCGTCCAGTCAGACTGTGTGATGACTGACCTTTAAGTATAACTAAGCGGTCAGCCGAGCAGTAGAGGTAAAACACGTGTCGTATTATGGACTGAGTAGTAACCACGCAAAGATACTAGATGATAGGACACCTCTTATGTCTAAACGTCACTCTGGATACCAGCCCTGGTACTACGTTGGTATCAGATACCACACGCTTACATATTTCTGCTTCCAAAAAGTAGTACGTATACTGGTGAGTTCTTGTCTGAGTCCAGAGAGTCAGTACAATTTCAGGTTGTGGGGAATTACACGACACTTCTTAGAGGTAACCTGTAGCCTCCTTTGTTTAAGGTTGGCTGCAGCTGTTGATGGATTGAAATTACCACTTTTTTACTATAGGTGAACAGTGACAAATGAGAACACACTACACCTGATGGTAAGTGGGTGCTGTGGCCTATAGAATCCTACATATCTATCCTCGATTAAGAATTAAAATGTTAATGCGTTGTCACGCCTGAGGACTAAGATGGAATGCCTTGTTATGAGTAAAAAAGGTCACCGGTTCTCTACACTCACCGTACATATCACAGCAGCAATAAACTGCTATTTTACACTAGTATTCTGTGAAAACGTGGTCCTTCCCTGGTCGAGCCGATCCATTCGTACTGCAGTCATAAAATATAACTAAAGTTTGGTTCTATCACGTAGTAAACTACGTACTATCAGGGCTCTTGTACACGCTAAGAAATTTCACCGTTTCTGTGGTAGATAAGACCAATACATCATGTATAAGACAAAAAATTTGTCAGATCTAGCCATGAAAAATCTGTCGTCTCTACTTCAGACTGGATAAATAGAGACGAGTACATTATAAGATTGTTTTCGGTCAGTCGTGCGTAGGGTATAGTGTAGTTAGTATATATATATATATATATATATATATATATATATATATATATATATATATATATATATTTAGTTCTCTTCGTAATTGGATCTATTCTTACTTACTTTCTTGTGTTTTTTTATGCCGTGTATATAGCCGTGGTAGCTCGGATGGTTAACGCTCGCTGTAAATATAACGGAACGCGAGTAACCCGGGTTCAATCCCCGCCGGCACCAATGAAATTGTTAATTGCAATTTTAGGTGCTGATTTACCACGTGCTCACCGGTGAAGGAAAACATCGTGAGGAAACCTGCATGTCTGAGGAATAAGGAAAAAAAAATATTTCGAAGACATGTGAAGTTCGCCAACACGCATTGGGGCAGTGCGGCGGACACTTCCTTGCCCTAAAACCCTCTCAGAAATGGGGGGAGGCCTGTGCCCAGCAGTGGGACGTATATAGGCTGTAACTTTACTTAACTTTACTATATATATATATATATATATATATATATATATATATATATATATATATATATATAAAAGAAAAAGTACGTAAACACGTCCACACATGTACAAAAAAACTCAAATTATCTGAAGCAACTCTACTCCGCCCCTCCCTTCACCGCAACAACACAGAGCTCGTCTTGTCTAGCGCAGACAAGAATTTTTTCTTTGTCAGCGCCGGAGCATCGTACACAGTTCGTGCATTCTTACATAAACGCGGCGACTTTTCTTAGCGTGTACAAGAGCCCTTAGGCAGGCTGTATGTTCGTTTGTCAATTTAAATTAAAAAACAGTGTCGCTAAGATCACTCCGCTTCACCCCGTTCCAGATCTTACTTACTTCGAAGGACGTAAAAAAATAATGAAACAGCCACTTTAAAACTAGATCGCAACTTATAAGTACATTTGACTCCTTTTACAGATTCGACGAAGAATTGAAAAAAGCTGTCCTTCTTAACGTTAGAGGAACCAAGCTGATTTTAGAACTTGCAAAAGAATGTAAAAAATTGAAGGTAAGTAATGTGTTATAAACAAAATTCAATATTAGGTCACGTGTTATCAAATCCATACATGTAATAACATTGTCAATTTACAAATGAAGTGCGTTACATGACATGTGTGTACAATATTAATGTATTGAAAATTTAATAATAACAATTAATTTTTCATTAATAACAGCCTTTTTATACAGGGTTATTTTTTAATTTTGGTTATTTTTTTTCAAATTTGCAGAGAAGGTTTAGAATAAGTAATATAAGCATATGTGAATATAATATGGTGAAGAAAAATTAATTAAATCAAATCTCAAACATTATGTCCTTGTTATCCGCTAAACTTAAAATGCGTGGTAATGCATTACTTTAACTGATTTTACTGCGCACGCACGCATTTGTAAGTTGTAAGGGTCAATCGATAGGCAAAAACGTTGTTGCCCATAAATCTCTTTCAATTTGGGATAATTTCAAATAATATTAGGAGCCTTACTTATTCATATTTTCAAAAACTGTCATAACGGTATATCATTATTTATATTTAAATTTAATTTTATATATTTAAATTTAAGTTTGAAATTTGGCTACTCTTTAAAAACTAATCCTGTAGAATAAGGATGAAAAAACGAGCACACAGTCCACGTGATGGTAAGTGGATGCTGTGACCTATAAGCCCCTTCTACATTTATCCTCAATTAAAAATGAAAACGCAGATGCGTTCTTTTCCCTGTGGACTAAAATGGAATGCCTCGTTTACAGTAAAAAGGGTCTCGGGTTCTCTATACTTACCATTACCATTAGCAGCATTAATCAGCTATTTCACACTTGTAATCTGTGAGAGCGCGGTCTTAACCTGGTCGCGCTGACCTATTTGTGCTACAGCTTTAATATTAATGTAACATGGCTCTACCACACAATAAATTATTACAGAAAAAATATTAAAGTCCATTTGTGAACATAGGCCTACCCCATGTATTTATTTATTTATTACAAGATCCACAGCACTAATTACAATGTAAATGATTTGACGAAATAAACTTACAGCCAATAACGGAACGGAATTGTCTTATATGATGTTCGCCATATTTGCCATGTTTGCTAGAAGGACTGGCCGCAGCAGTTTTTTTATTACTTCAAGTCATTATATATTATTTTGATTAAGTATATACTTTTATTATTATTTTAATTTATTTATTACAAGATCCACAGCACTAATTACAATGTAAATGATTTGACGAAATAAACTTACAGCCAATAACGGAACGGAATTGTCTTATATGATGTTCGCCATATTTGCCATGTTTGCTAGAAGGGCTGGCCACAGCAGTTTTTTTTATTACTTCAAATCATTATATATTATTTTGATTAAGTATATACTTTTATTATTATTAACATATTGCATGTTATATTTATTCTATGTTACTTTTATTGTAAATTACACTTTGGAAATCTTATATTCGATCTTCACATGCAACGCTCACTTCATGTCTAAGTACATTATCATCGAATTGTATGTAATAAAGCCAAGAGGGAGAGCAAGATGACCCATAGCACAGGATAACCTAGTTTGAGCTCCTGTCTCACACAGCAACTCAAAACTCTTAAACTATTTATGAAATAAATGTAACTATGTAAAAAGTGGGAGAAATAAATGTTTATTTATTATTATTATTATCAGAAGGATGCTACTTTCTATCTTTAGTTACATTTCCCCTAGTCGACTCTGCTGACATGTACGAGGGTATGATATAAGGCAGCGAGTTCTCTAACGCTACATCTACTCGGCGGTATTATATTGTTACTCGATATGAATTAATATTCTTTATTTTCAGCTTTTTGTTCACATCTCGACAGCATATTGTCATCTCCAGGAAAAGCTTTTAGAAGAGAAACCGTATCCTCCTCCTGCTGATCCTCACAAAGTCATACAAACCGTCGAATGGATGGACGAAGAATCTATAGCTTTACTTACTCCAAAGTAAGTGATTTTCTCAGATCAAATAATATATTTTTTACAATATAGTTTTAAATTCATAAATATGCTATTTAATTATTCATTTATTTGCTTTAACTAATACTTACTTTCGACTACTTAGTATCCGAAATATCAAACTGAAGTTTGATATTTCGAAAACTAAGTTTATTTCTTATTTACCTAACTTTATAATTACTATTTTGAAAGACCTGCTTATTATGTGAAAGTACATAAACATTAGGGATTATGTAAAATTATAGACTCGTATATAGAAATTAAAAAAACCTTAATAGCAATTTCATCAATTTCATTCGAATAGTAGAATTTATGATGCTGCAGCCCATGACGATAGATCTCATATTCGAATAGAATACCGCGATGGTGAATTGTTTAATATCAACACAAAATTAAGTAAAAACAAAAACAAGTAAAATTACACAAAAAAAAGTAAAATTATAGACTCGTATATAGAAATTAAAAAAAACCTTAATAGCAATTTCATCAATTTCATTCGAATAGTAGAATTTATGATGCTGCAGCCCATGACGATAGGTCTCATATTCGAATAGAATACCGCGATGGTGAATTGTTTAATATCAACACAAAATTAAGTAAAAACAAAAACAAGTAAAATTACACAAAAAAAAAGTAAAATTATAGACTCGTATATAGAAATTAAAAAAAACCTTAATAGCAATTTCATCAATTTCATTCGAATAGTAGAATTTATGATGCTGCAGCCCATGACGATAGGTCTCATATTCGAATAGAATACCGCGATGGTGAATTGTTTAATATCAACACAAAATTAAGTAAAAACAAAAACAAGTAAAATTACACAAAAAAAAGTAAAATTATAGACTCGTATATAGAAATTAAAAAAAACCTTAATAGCAATTTCATCAATTTCATTCGAATAGTAGAATTTATGATGCTGCAGCCCATGACGATAGGTCTCATATTCGAATAGAATACCGCGATCGTGAATTGTTTAATATCAACACAAAATTAAGTAAAAACAAAAACAAGTAAAATTACACAAAAAAAAGTAAAATTATAGACTCGTATATAGAAATTAAAAAAAACCTTAATAGCAATTTCATCAATTTCATTCGAACAGTAGAATTTATGATGCTGCAGCCCATGACGATAGGTCTCATATTCGAATAGAATACCGCGATCGTGAATTGTTTAATATCAACACAAAATTAAGTAAAAACAAAAACAAGTAAAATTACACAAAAAAAAGTAAAATTATAGACTCGTATATAGAAATTAAAAAAACCTTAATAGCAATTCCATCAATTTCATTCGAATAGTAGAATTTATGATGCTGCAGCCCATGACGATAGGTCTCATATTCGAATAGAATACCGCGATCGTGAATTGTTTAATATCAACACAAAATTAAGTAAAAACAAAAACAAGTAAAATTACACAAAAAAAAGTAAAATTATAGACTCGTATATAGAAATTAAAAAAACCTTAATAGCAATTTCATCAATTTCATTCGAATAGTAGAATTTATGATGCTGCAGCCCATGACGATAGATCTCATATTCGAATAGAATACCGCGATCGTGAATTGTTTAATATCAACACAAAATTAAGTAAAAACAAAAACAAGTAAAATTACACAAAAAAAAGTAAAATTATAGACTCGTATATAGAAATTAAAAAAAACCTTAATAGCAATTTCATCAATTTCATTCGAATAGTAGAATTTATGATGCTGCAGCCCATGACGATAGGTCTCATATTCGAATAGAATACCGCGATCGTGAATTGTTTAATATCAACACAAAATTAAGTAAAAACAAAAACAAGTAAAATTACACAAAAAAAAGTAAAATTATAGACTCGTATATAGAAATTAAAAAAACCTTAATAGCAATTTCATCAATTTCATTCGAATAGTAGAATTTATGATGCTGCAGCCCATGACGATAGGTCTCATATTCGAATAGAATACCGCGATCGTGAATTGTTTAATATCAACACAAAATTAAGTAAAAACAAAAACAAGTAAAATTACACAAAAAAAAAGTAAAATTATAGACTCGTATATAGAAATTAAAAAAAACCTTAATAGCAATTTCATCAATTTCATTCGAATAGTAGAATTTATGATGCTGCAGCCCATGACGATAGGTCTCATATTCGAATAGAATACCGCGATCGTGAATTGTTTAATATCAACACAAAATTAAGTAAAAACAAAAACAAGTAAAATTACACAAAAAAAAAGTAAAATTATAGACTCGTATATAGAAATTAAAAAAACCTTAATAGCAATTTCATCAATTTCATTCGAATAGTAGAATTTATGATGCTGCAGCCCATGACGATAGGTCTCATATTCGAATAGAATACCGCGATCGTGAATTGTTTAATATCAACACAAAATTAAGTAAAAACAAAAACAAGTAAAATTACACAAAAAAAAGTAAAATTATAGACTCGTATATAGAAATTAAAAAAAACCTTATTAGCAATTTCATCAATTTCATTCGAATAGTAGAATTTATGATGCTGCAGCCCATGACGATAGGTCTCATATTCGAATAGAATACCGCGATCGTGAATTGTTTAATATCAACACAAAATTAAGTAAAAACAAAAACAAGTAAAATTACACAAAAAAAAGTAAAATTATAGACTCGTATATAGAAATTAAAAAAAACCTTAATAGCAATTTCATCAATTTCATTCGAATAGTAGAATTTATGATGCTGCAGCCCATGACGATAGAGTCTCATATTCGAATAGAATACCGCGATCGTGAATTGTTTAATATCAACACAGACCTTCTTTAATTTATGAGAGGTTTATGTAGCAATTAGTCTTACCCCGGCAATACATATTGGCCAAGCCTAACCCAACGCGAGCGTAGGCAAATTGATACAAGCGAGCTACAGAACAAGCGAGTGCTACAGTTTACACGTGGTCAAGTTCGAAACAGACCAATTCCAAGGCCAATGTGCACTGGTTTTTATGGATAATTAGTTGTGATTGAGAATTGGAACGGTACGGACGACGTAGAAGTTACTGCAGATTCTGCTATTTTTATTAAAATATAGCAGAATCTGCAGTAATGCATTAGAGTGCATTTAATTATTATGTCAGTGTACTCCGCAGTAAAGTTATTAAAAAAAGAGACAGTAAAGATGAAGGTGGATGCTGAGTATTGCAATTAAAACAATATCTCACCGGGACAGACGCCAAGGTGTAACTGACACGGCCGAATAATATGTAGACGCGACTTACCGAGTGCAGGCGAGCGCCTTTTGATTTGTGCAAAAAAACCGACACTGTTCCGAAGTGGTCGAGTCGTAGCAAGCGGTCTCGAGTGGCGGCAAGGCACACCAAGCGAACAATATATACGTTGGTGCTCGCCTGCACTCGGCCAGCTAGGCGAGCGTCGACGAGCAATGGCGAGGCTGGGCAAATGGGCTGCCTATACGTTAGTGTTAGCTTTCGCTCGGTCAACATGTATAGCTGGCTTTATTTATTAATTGGTGGACTTAACATTATTTAAAATATTTTTATTCCTCAGTCATGCAGGTTTCCTCAAGATGTTTTCCTAACCGCCAACTACATGGTAAATCAACACATAAATTTAAAATTTAAAAGAGTAAACTATGATATAATTAATATAAAAATATAATATTTTCGGCTTCCTTTGTACGGTTCGTGTGGCAAATCCAGAATATTCTTCCTACTTGAAGCTGTGTTAGAATAAAACCAAACGATGCGTTGCCGCGACGACGCAGCATCTGTTTAAAAATCCGTGCATATCACAGGGTGCAGGCAAGCAATCTGTTCACCAGTATAGGCATTTTATCGTGTGATAAGCGATCTAGCAAATTATTTTCTTTTGCACATTTTAGCACCTGAGCTTTCAAGTACTATTACAACATTGTGAGGTACCACGTGTGGCAAGTATATTGTACCGCAGCAACGAGATATCACCACTACCTATCGAATGACTTCGCTCGTATAGTAAACATGTCAAAGACTGATACTAATGATGAACGAATATTTTAAGAAAATGAAATAGAAAGGTGTATTCTTAGATAACTTTAAGTAGTTTGTCAAGTAGTAATCGCTTCAGTAATTTTGTTGAGCGTATTTAAAATATAAAAAAAATTGATCATAATAATGATGTTTTTTTAAAGTTGATTTTGATAAAAATCTGCACGATGAAAATGATTAAGTATAATGTCTTTGCAACTATAAAATTGACAAAATGGAGTCATGAACCAACCTAAGTCTAATTTAGGTACAAAGATCCATATACTACTAGCACTGAAGCCCATCACGAGTCCACTACTGAACGTAGGGCAAATCTGTTGATTGCCACAAACTACGGGCATCGGCACTCACATATGGCAATGGGCAGGCCATACAGCTCTAAGAAGTCATAACCAGTAGGAAAAAATACCATTTATGTAATTGATTTTCAGGTAATTGACTGTATTTTATAAAGCATTTTATTAACATATTTTTATTCGTGAAAGATATGGAAAATATAATTATAATCCTCAAGTGTTTAAGCCGTTTCTTTTATATCAAAAAGTTTTCGAATGACTGTTGGTTGTGCAAAGTAGTATTAGAAATAATAATTACTTCATATATAAGAATACCATAATTTTCTTGTAATTAACAGAAGATGAATAATATTTAAAAATAATATCACAAAATATTTTGTCATTTTGATTGTAAAGTACTGCAGAACACAGTGTTATATACTTTATAAATTTCTTTTATATTTATAGGTTACTGAGTAAGCTACCCAATTCTTACGCTTTTACTAAGGCGTTAGGTGAAGCTTTAGCGGTCGAAGCTATGCAGCACATCCCTGTCGTCATCTTACGTCCCTCCATAGGTAAGTAGTTTTAAATAAGTAATGTAAAGAGAATAAAGATGTTAAAACTTACGTTTCCTTAACTCATATTATTGTTATGGTTTCGTTCTATTTGAAGCAGCAAGCAAGAAATAATTAATACAATAGCGAAATATGTATGAGTCAATAAAATTATGAGTTAGTCATGAAACCAGCACTAAGAGCTATAATGTATTTTGCGCCGTTGATAACTTGCATCAGCTTTTGGTAGGAGTTTCAATGGTGCAATTTAATCGGAATTAAGAAATTGTAACAATTATAAAACCTAATGGATATAATATGAAAAAATAAAATAATAGCCTACATACATCCTCTTAGTGAGGACCCATTCTCATTTGTGAAGGTAAACGTTGCGTACGTAAAAATAACTTCATTACGCTAGACATGCATTTTAATTTCTACGTGGTGTACTCATGCTGGAGATATATTATGTTAGTAGCATGAATGGGTCGTCTCGGACGGGGAATGACCGCGCTCTCAAAAAATAATATACGCATAAAAAAAACAGTTTAATGCTGCGGTGATTTGTATGGTGAGTGTAAAAAATCGGATACTCATATTACTAAACAAGACACTACATGTTAATTCTTAGGGGTGACTACGGATCTACATTTTGATTCTTAATTGAGGACTGATGTTTGGTGTATGTCTATGGTTCATAGCATCCACTTACTATCAAATGGACACACAGTCCACCTGATAGTAATTTCGGGTCATAAAATTTTGTATTACTAAACAAGACACTACATATTAATCCTTAGGGGTGACTACGGATCTACATTTTGATTCCTAATTGAGGACTGATGTATGGTGTGTGTCTATGGTTCATAGCATCCACTTACTATCAAATGGACACACAGTCCACCTAATAGTAATTTCGGGTCATAAAATTTTGTATTACTAAACAAGACACTACATATTAATCCTTAGGGGTGACTACGGATCTACATTTTGATTCCTGAGGACTGATGTATGGTGTGTGTCTATGGTTCATAGCATCCACTTACTATCAAATGGACACACAGTCCACCTGATAGTAATTTCGGGTCATAAAATTTTGTATTACTAAACAAGACACTACATATTAATCCTTAGGGGTGACTACGGATCTACATTTTGATTCTTAATTGAGGACTGATGTTTGGTGTATGTCTATGGTTCATAGCATCCACTTACTATCAAATGGACACACAGTCCACCTGATAGTAATTTCGGGTCATAAATTTTGTATTACTAAACAAGACACTACATGTTAATCCTTAGGGGTGACTACGGATCTACATTTTGATTCTTAATTGAGGATTGATGTATGGTGTATGTCTATGGTTCATAGCATCCACTTACTATCAAATGGACATACAGTCCACCTGATAGTAATTTCGGGTCATAAAATTTTACTTTAACTTGTGTACTTATATAATGTTAAGTGATTCTGTAAATATGTCATTTTCATTTCAGTTATACCAATATGGCAAGAACCTGTGCCGGGTTGGACTGATAACATCAACGGTCCGGCTGGTCTTTTAATTGGTAACTATTAAAAAATATAATAAATAAAGTAGGTGTAACTAAGATTAGTCTCATATCGTCCCGTGGGTGTCGTAAGAGCCGACGGAGGGAAATCGAAAAAAATGATGGTCAGCAAAATCATCTTGGTAACAAGTCAAAATAATGAAATGGTAACAATGGCAAATTCCATTATGAGAAAATATATGAGGCATTTGTTCAACAGTGAACCGTTATAGGCTGTAATGAATGGATGGATCGATGAAATAAGATTAAGTTTGTTACGTTTTGAAATCAACTACTTCAAAACAAATTCTCGCCCATGCCTGATAACAAATACAAAGCAGTAGTTAAACCGTTTTACGAAATATAAATAATTTTTTATCAAACCCAATTTATGGTTTTACATTTAGAGAGCATACCATAAAAATGATATAATTTTTTTACATGTAATTTTAAGTGCTATTTACCTTTATGGAGAAATATGAAATTCGTTAAATTGTTGACACAAAGTGATTCTTTTTGCTTAAAAATAAAGTTAAGTTTAAAATCATTAAAACTATTTGTTTTTGTTTAGTTATGAAGTTTTTATTCAAAATGATACAATCATATGATATGTCTAGTATTGAACTCACCATCATCATCATTACTTATATAAGGATATATATCCTTTATGAAAAGTTTAATGTTTCCGTCTTTGAAAAAATCCGTAACGATGATATTCGCTGAATAGTCCGAGAATTATCCGGTATAGCCCAGCAGATTAGTAAGCAGAAGTGACAACGGGTCATCTGGCTTGTAGAACCGACAACCCTTAGGGAAAAAAGGTTTTTGAATTTCGAGCTAGTACTAGCAAGTGCATGAGCCGTGGTAGCTCAGATGGTTAACGCTCGCTGTAAATATAACAGAACGCAAGTAGCCCGGGTTCGATCCCCGCTGACACCAATGAAATTGTTAATTGCAATTTAAGTGCTGATTTACCACGTGCTCGGCGGTGAAGAAAAACATCGTGAGGAAACCTACATGTCTGAGGAATAAGAAAAAAATATTTCGAAGCCATCTGAAGTTTCCCAATATACATTGGGGCAGCGCGGCGGATACTCCCTTGCCCTAAAACCCTCTCGAAAATGAGGTGAGGCCTGTTCCCAGCAGTGGGACGTATATAGGCTGTAACTTTACTTTACTAGCAAGCGCAGTTTTGGGTGTTGCCTCACTGATGGAGTTACGATCAGATGAAACATTGAGTTATACCAAAAAAAATAATATATAATAAAAATAAATAAATAAATAAAATAATAGGATTTTTTTTATAATTCGAATTATAAAGTCTAATTTACGTATTACGTAAATTACGTAATTTCTACAAAATTTCAAATAACTTTTAAACCAATGAATATCGCAAAACTTACGTCGTGTAGGTTTTATGTTTGAACCTTGAGTAAGTTACACTAGATATCTACTTACGTCTATTGCCTCATCCTCCTCCTATAAATAATTCCTCTTTTAACACCCGCTTTATTTATTTTGTAGTGTAAACTTATTTATTACTACCTAGTTTTGAAATTATTTGTGCGCTAATTTCAGGTGCCGGCAAGGGTGTCATAAGAACAATGTATTGCAAGAGCAACAGTTATGCGGACTATTTACCTGTCGATGTGTTTATAAATGGAATTATGATATTGGCTTGGAACTATATTAAATACGGGTAAATAATTTTATCTTAAATAAAAAATAAACACGTCCTTAGTTGACAGTGTCACTGCAGTAATGTTAAGTGAAAATGAACTAATTTTTAATTAAAATATTAGCGAGATTAAGTAGAAACTTAAACAGATATTTGAGCAGGTAACTTGCAATATTTTTCAAGTCTTATTCTCGTTATAATTTTCGATTGATATAAATAAACTGAATAATATTTATATAACATTTTCAGTGACAAGACTTCAAATGTAATCAATTTCACATCATCCGCCGAGATCAAAGTTACGTGGTCGGAGATGATCGATGCAGGAAGAGAAATAATTATGAACAGAGTACCCTTGAATGGAGTTGTATGGTGAGAGTCATTTTTTTCAATAATTCTACAAAAAGTAAAAGCGCCTAAGGTGACTAGTACTGAGCTCGAAAATTTGCTTTTTGACTTAAATAATAGAAATTTTTTCGTCTTGTTTTTATTTGTTTATAAACTATTCTTATAACAAAGATATTAATAGATTAATTGGCAACCTTCCGCTTAATTAAATACAATGATGTGTCTTACCTGGATTGAAGAGCACCTCCCGTTTTCCCTCAATTGCGTGCACTAATCTGCTGCTGGGATTAGTGGTGACGGGATTAATGCACACAATTGAGGGAGGGCGGGAGTTGCTCTTCAATCCAGGTAAGATACATCATTGTATTAATTAAGCGGAAGGTTGCGAATTAATCTGTCGATATGTTTGTTATAATGGATTTCCGCAAAGTGACGCCTGATTCTATCAATTATTCTTATATTTTCGTTAATGTTATTACACTTTAAATTAAATAAATTTACGGAGCAATAAATTCATTAAAAATAAATTTAATCCCAATAACACCTGCTAAAAAATTAAAAATTCTGATTTATATTACAAGTAGTAAAACCGTTTTATATTTTTTAAATTCAGGTATCCTGGAGGATCAATGAAACATTCTCGATTACATCATAATATTTGCCTTTTATTTTTCCATTGGATTCCAGCAATCATTATCGATACTTTGCTATTTTGCCTGGGATACAAACCTGTGTGAGTATAATTATGCTATATTTTTTAAAAAGAGGTTTATTGTTAAAACAATCTAAATTTATAAAAATACATCCAGTTTCTAAGCATTGTAACAATTACAAAACGCTTTGTGTGGTGTAAACAATTTTAACTTGTGCAAAGTTTGTTTACGCGGCATAAATATTAGCTTGGAGGATGGATGCAGTCGCCGATAACATAAAAAAATTTGGGTAGTGTGGAAAATATACGAATGACTCAGTAGGACGTAAGAAGCTTATTCAGTTGATTGCAGTGATTTCTGACGATTTAAGGCTCGTGCCTATGCAATACATCAGTATGACGATAGCGTTGCGACACGAATTGTAATTAATGTCGTAAATTGCAAGCATTGCTTAATTGTAGGCTACTTGTACTTACTTTTGGATTAGTTAATAATATTCCAGATGGATGGATGTTTGTGCATTATAGTCATTGCAACTTGAAGAGCAAAATGCTCAGACAGGTTCGTCGTAGTCAAGTACACTGAAAGTGAAAATCCGGTACGCAAACTTGATGGCCGCAATGGACGCTTGAACATTCGCAATACGTTCTGCCTGAGGTTGAGCAGTTTCGTGGATGCTCACTGTATTTTATTCAAGATTTTAATTTTTAGAAGAGAGATTAAAATACTTAGGAGTGATGACGTGTGATACTAGCCATTTATACGTAACATACTGTAACTGCCAACAAGCATCTATGTAACAAGAGTAAGATAGAGCATGTTCAAATATGTTCAAGCGTACACGAGTGTCCATGTGACCGCGTATAACATACGTATACATAGTTTCAACTCTATTTTAATTATGACAGTTCATTATCATTTTATCAGTGAAAATTGCTCGAGCTTTTGGTTGCTCTTACTGCACTGATCGATAAAGGTCCTCAATAGATAGAATGTGCAAAAGTGTACCTCCGATCCGGAACAGAATCTGCACATTCTTCAATTTCTGAGTCCCAGAGTCCAATAGCCGTGAGATTTTTAATTAGCAGTTAGTCGGAGTTCTTGTCAAATTGCGTTATTCGCTCTTAGCTAAACCTAGGCTATAGCTATATGCTCGGCTTTAGCACTTAGATTGGTTTAGGATTGATATTTTGGAGCAAGTCGAAGCGATAAGAATTTATTATGATAATAAAATGTGGAGTTGTAGAATAAAGAGTCAAAGAATAGTAATGAAAGAGTGAAAATGGACTTTAAAACCAAACCCATACCCAAAATAACATTAAAGCGATTCCTTCTGTAATTCGCTTTCAACCTAACAGCACGATAATTAAAATGTATTTTATTGTATACAGTCTGTAATGCATTTACACTGTAGTGGTAAATGAAAAAATTGACTTTCAATATGTTATTGCTTATAATCTACATTGAATAAAAAAGTTTCTGTTTCTGTTTCTGTGTTGATGTTTTCTTGCTCAATGTGAACAATCATTTAAATTATACATTTGCCATTATAGATTGAGGAGCTATGTTTAGAGTTTCAAATAATTAATTAAATAAATCAATTTAGCACTTATAGAAAAAGTGACGAATATCTAACTTGATGATTAGAAAAAAATATAACCAAATACAATAATCTTCGAATCTGTATAAAATTTCGTTAAGTGCCTTTATACATAGTTATCGTTATCATTATCATTAGATATAGCTATATATGGGTACTGATTCATTAAAATAATTTTCGACATATTAACCTTTCTGTAAAGTAATTTAAGGCGGTATTACATAAACGCAATTTTTGGGAAAGAAATTAATGTTTTGTAATATATTTCGGAACATTAAGGTTAAACGTTTCATCACAGTTAGCGTACAAGGACGGCTTAAGGTTGCTTGCCTAATATTGCAGAAAATGTTTAAAGTTTTTCAGTAAACAATTTAAAATTTGTATTAAAGAATACATAGTAAAATTTAAATAGTTTGTTCGTATTTTATGCGCTGACATACCGCTCATCAGATTACGGTAAAAATTTATCAACATATAGGGTGCGTTTGGCAGAAAAAAGCGCTAGCAAGCGCTTGTAAGCAAAATGGCGATCGTAAGCGGTAAGCGCTGTCAAATCGTAAGTAGCTATTTTCCTCCAGGACACGATGTTAGTTTTAACCGGGGAACCTAACCTAATTTAAATATATGTTTGTAAGGTATTCATATTAAAAACTTACCAATCATGAATTTTTAATAACATGTATATGTTTATTCATGTCATTTTATTACTTAAAACTAATATTGCGCAAAACAACTTAAAAACTCTACTTCAAAACTGTCAATAAGCAAAATGGCGGATTGTGTCAGCGCTACTGAAGTAGTAATCGTGTCCTGGCCGAAAACTATTTCAGCGCTTGTAAGCGCTTGCTAGCGCTTTTTTCTGCCAAACGCACCCATTGCTTGCACTTTCGCGAAGGTTATAGACATAGTTGGGGCAGGTCGCTAGTATTGAATAAAAATCATTTTATTTTATTGTATTCTTAAGAGCGATGTTCAAAAATATTTTTATTCTAAATTAATTTTGCTTCTTCTTGATCAAAACTACTTTTACGGATTTTAGCGCGTTTAATTTTAAATGAAAAAATAAATTCCTTCTCCTGTTAAATTTTAATATCTGTGATATTAAAACTTATTGTTTGATTAGTGTATATTTTTGATATATGTCTAGTTATGAGAATCTTGAAGGTCTATGTATAAAGTTATATTATTACTCCCTTTTCTGGCGTATGCTTGTTCTTACGCGTAAAAGGCAAGCTACTTTGACGTTATCAGAATAAATGGGTATTACATAACGTAGTTTATACTCCTTTATATAGAAACCACTCCATGTTTTACGTCGGCTATTCTATAAAGACTCAAGGGATTTTACGTCTGTCGCATGCGCAATTATCGTAGCGCCATCTATTGGATGTCGTAAAACCCTTTTGATAATATTAAATTCATTTACCCTGGATGCTGGATTTTTTTGCCATTCACATTGCCAAGAATATCAAACATATTTCTAATTTATTTCATTATTTTTCTTAAAGATGAGAAAATCGTCAGTTAATATCAGTTTTAATGTCTTTTAAAGTAATAACAGTAAAATGAATATTGAAATAAACAATATAAAATTTAACAATAATCGTAGTTCGGTACAAAAGACATCAACGCATTAGTAAGGAGCTAAGTTACATTGTTTTCTAAAAAAATATTCGATATTTGGTTAAAAAAATTACTTACTCCTTTTACACCAAACATGCGTGACTTCAAGCATGGAAAATGCAAACCAATTTCATTTAATAACGCAATAATCGTGTATATGTCGCAGGTATATTGTCAAAGCCGTGATATTACAATTTTATTTGTGATATTATAATTGAACGGTGGATGATTATCAATCGACTTTATTTCTTACAAACTAATGAGCCCAGTCGAAGAAGTCCCTCGAAGCAGGGCTCCTACTTCTGAGTGATTTATAAAAAAATAACCACGAAGGAAATGGCGTGGTCTATTCGTTTATAAATATTATGTAATGTAATAATGACATACGTTTAATATTATGTCTTAAAATGCCGTATGGGTTCGGTATACACAATTTCATCTCGTATGGGGATGTATTACACAATTTTATCCCGTGGGCGACGTATAAAGTGCAATAGGTAAATGTCAGAAAGACCATATGGCTATATTTAATTATTTGTCGTGTCTGGATGCACGATATTCAGTATTGGAAAATAATTATTTCCTTTTGATAAGAACTACAATCTCGTAACTTATTGCTACATATGGATCTATTCTAATTAAGATATTTATCTATATTTTCACTTAAACAGCAAAATAATATAAGTATATATGCACTAAGTGCAATATAAATACACAATGTGCAAGTACCAACTTAATGCTTCAAAGGAAATACGGTAGTGGTCTAAATCGATCATACTAGTAAAGTAAAATATGATCTTAAGGGTCAGTGCATACCAAGACATGTAGCGACGCGACGTTGCACATACTTTTTAAGATAGTGATAGAAAGTATAAATTTATTCACTACGAAAAAGATACACATTTAGTTGAGATGAAGATGAATACCATCGTAAAATAGTAACTTAACGCTGCTGTGTTTCGTATGATGACTGTAGAGAACTGGAGACTCTTTTTACTGGAAACGAGTCATTCCATCTTAGTCTTCACGGGTGACAACGCATCTGCGTTTTGATTTTTAATCGAGGATAGATGTAGATGTCTATGGGCCGCAGCAACCACTTAGTATCAGATGAACTGTGCTCGTTTGTCACCCAATCCTATAAAAAAGGTAATTCAAAAATGCGCCGTGACATCGCCCTACGCCACGCTGCGCTTTCAGGTGCATTGCAGGGTAGCGTGACGCATCACGACGCTGCGCTACGCATCCCGACGCAGCGACGCTTTGTCGTTAGGCGTAACGTGCAAGAGCGGTGCACTGCTGAGGCATCGTCGCGTTGCGTCGCTTGTATGTCTAAACTGACCCTCTAAGGCATATGAATTCCGATGTATGTCAGAGTAAGTACTCTAATCGGCAACAGGAGGTACGACGATCGAATTTTTTTTCTGCTATAGGAGAAATTATGATAAGTTCTCTTCAATAGGCTCTTGTGTAATGTACGTGTATAACATAATGGAATATTGCGACTTGGTAAAAGCGTCAAAGTAAATACGATAATGACGTTAAATCTAATTTATATTATATCTTGCACGTTGTATTCATATAAGTAAAAAATACTTTTTCCAGATTAATGCGTGTTCACCGCCGTATCAATAAAGGATTCGAAGTGTTTGAATATTATACGAACAATCAGTGGGACTTCAAGTCCGATATTGCTCAGACTGTGCGACAGAGGCTTAATACGAGAGAGAGACGGGATTACAAAGTCGATGCTATTGGTAAGTTTCAATGATGAAGTTCATCTATTTCTGAATGGATGTTCTGACGAATGGATGGTTTTGTATTATTTAGGTAAATGAGACATTTCATTAAAAAGGGGCAAATAACACTTGTATTTAGACCAGATGTACACATATAGATTAGTGTTAACAGATAGGCGTTGGTGTTGTTAAGAGAAACAAATTAAACAAGGCGTGGAATCACTGACTGCATTCTTTACTTGAAGCACTTAGAAATCTTGTCTTTCTCAATAAAAGAAAAATGACCTTCCGTTGATACACTCCTTAACACTCCCCGCAAAATGTTAGAAATGAGCAAAGAATTTAAATTATTCCTGATATTAATCGTTGTTTTAAATATTACTGATTTTCTCGTTAATAATTAAGTACAGTGGCTCAAAATTCTAGTTAGTTTAATAGCGATACCTTAAATTTTCTATTATGGGTAGTGTAATAAATTTTAAAAGATGAAGAGCACTTTCCTTTTAAACTATGTCGCTAAAATTAGTGAATTTAATGAAGAAATTTGATACATTTTGAAGTTTTATTACAATAGAGAGAAAAGTGCGACTCAGCCGCGACAAAAAATTGTGACTCGTCACTCACTTTGTGAGTCAGTAAGAGTAGCACTAAATTGGTTTAAGCGTTTTCAGCCCAGGAATTTTGATGTCAAAGCTGTAGCTCGTTCTGGTTGTCTCTATACGAATAAAGTCAATGTCGTTTTTGAAAAGGTGGAGTAAGAACGGCATATTAGTAGTAACGACATAGCCGAGGAATTGAAAATCGTTCACGAAATAGTTTTGACTCCTTTGAAAAAGTCCAGCTATACAAAAAAAACTCGATATTTGTGTACCATACGAGCTCAATGAGAGAAACCATGTGATGAAACCGCACCAATTTTTGAAAAGATTGATTGCTGGTGATGATAAGTGGATAACCTACGACAAGAACGTGCGAAAAATGTAATGGTCAAAGAGTAGTCATTCTTCACAGACTGTAGCGAAACCTAGATTAACACGCAATAAGGTGATGCTTTGTGTATGTTGGGATTGGAAGGGCATCGTTTATTATGAGCTTTTACCATCGTGCAAATCATCAATTCGGATCTCTTCTGCCAACAACTATAGAGAGTCACGCAAGAAATTGAGAAAAAAATGGCCGGCATTGACCAAAAGAAAAGGAGTGGTCTTTTATTATGATAACGCCAGACCAAATACATATTTGGCCACTCAGTAAAAATTAAGAGAGCTTAGTTGGGAAGTGTTAATGCATCTACATATAGTACTGATCGTGCACCTTGAGATTTTTACCTGTTTCGGTCTCTTCAGAATTCTTTGGGTAGTGTTATGTTAACATTAAGAGATTTTCAAAACTACTTGTCACATTTTTTTGATCAAAAATCCCTAGAACTCAGACAGAACAGTAATTGGATTATTTTACTACTTACAAGATGGAAACAAGTTATCAATCATAATGGCATATATATTATAATTATAAGTAATTCAACTTTGGAAAAAAATTCTTGAATTTGTATATAAAATACGAAGATACTCTTTCCCCGACTTTTTCTTATAAAACAATTTCCGAATGATATTATGTAACATATTTATATTTATAGGTCTTGACATATCGAAATATTTCGAAGACTGTATTAGAGCAGCTCGAATATTCATTCTTAAGGAGTACGATGACACCTTACCGGCAGCAAGAAGGCATATGAAAATGTAAGTAACAAAAAATTTAGTTGTTTTAAATTTTTTTTGGAAATTAAAGTAACAACGAACTTATAGTCAATCCGATGGTAAGTGGTTACTGCAGTCTATAAACATCTGAAGCCAACTTTAAACTAAGAAAGCTACTGATAAGTCTCTGAGGACTAGGATGCCTGCACAGCCTGTATTATTTTTATACCGAAACATATATTTTTGTCTGCCATGTATTGTCGGCGAATGGAAATTCGATACCCAATATCCAAGCGATTCGTAAGAGAGACGATGGGAAAGAAATATCTTATAACTTGTTATACATGGTGGTATATAATCTTATGTTTATACTATGTAAAATAATATTCAGTGTTTGGCAACAGGCGCTAGTGTTAAAGGTACCAGATCAATGCAGTAGTTAACGAGCCTACCAAACATGGTAGTTATGGGACTTCCTGTCTAAAATAATAAAAGCTCTTGTAGACTTTAAGGGGTTGATGAAAAAAGGTATTTTCGAATATACTCAGGGCTAATACGCCATCATATATCATTTATTACACTTTTTATTTTTATACTTCTTATTTTTGTACGTGGTAGACGTTGCAGCTATATTATAGTTGTAGCACGAATGGGTGGGCTCGACCGGGGAAGGACCACACTCTCACAGAATACCAGCGTAAAATAGCAGCTTAATACTGATGTGTTTTGTACGGTGAGTGTAGAGAACCGGAGACTCTTTTTACTGGAAACGAGTCCTTATAGGTGACAACGCATCTGTGTCTTGATTCTTAATGGAGAATAAATGTAGATGTCTACTGGGCCACAGCATCCACGTACCGTCAGGTGGACTGTGTGCTCGGTTGTCACCTTCATTCTATAAAAAAATACTGGTAGCACGAATGGGTCGGCTCAACGGGGGAAGCACCACGCTAGAGAACCGCAGACACTTTTTACCGTAAACGAGACATTCCATCTTAATCCTCAGAGGTAACGATGTATCTGCATTTTGATTTTTAACTGACGATATATGTAAAAATCTATGCGTCACATTATCCACTAACAAACAGGTGGAATGTGTGTGCCTTTGTCACCCTTATTCCATAAGAAATATTTTATCTAGCCCCCGCATAAACTCACATACACACACGCACACACACACACACACACACACACACACACACACACACACACACACACATACACACACACACACACACACACACACACACACACACGCCCCCCCACACACACACACACACACAACACACACACACGCACAACGCTTTTAGAGCTTAACACTTACAGTAGAATACTTCTGCCTTTTGTTTCTATACGTTATGGATGTTTTATGTAATAAAGAATATCTAAATATATAATCATATATATTTTTATTTCTGCAGCATGTGGTTCGTCGACCTGGTTGTGCGGTTTTTATTTTGGGCGCTGACACTATATTGGCTTAGTGGATGTGTCTCCTCCCTCTACACATATGCAGTAGGATACAAATAAACTCCAGCAGTTGTGGCCACCAGCGTGTAACATGTTGCTTTAAGTTATATAAATAGGATATAGTATTTTAATAACGCTTTAGTTAGTTAATTTTTATTATCGATCCATAATTGTCTTTTACCAAATATTACAAGGTAATTTTTTTTTACTTTCTATTAAATCCAGAATTTTCTTTATATTGTTTAAGTCAACTTCAAATTAGACAAAAATAATATTATAATAGTTTAAAAGGTTTATGTTTCCTTGGCTTGAAGTATAATAATTGTATAAACAACTACTATAATATTTTAAGTCTTAATTAAGTTTAAAATATAACCTTAAAATTTTAAATGCACACTGAATAATACTAGGAATATTTGTTACCGAAGAAAAATGTTTAATTGAGCTTATTAATAGAAATAAGGGTGTTAAATATCGTACCTCTTTTTAAGTTAAGAATAAAAAAACAAATTCTAGTTTGTAATAATATCATGTGAATATACGTTCAAAACAAATACATAGTTTATGAGTGTATTAAATACGGTGTAAATTGAATGTCAATAATGAAATTGTACGTTGTACATAATATTATATAAGATGAATATTATCGGGATATAGAACTTGTATAAATAATTATATTTTAATAAAAAAGTTTTTGATATTGGTATATTCTGCATTTTATTATAATTACTATTTAATTATATCACCATTATATCTTACAACGCTACTTAGTTACACCAACATCACTGTCCACGTTGTGGATAATCCATGTTGTGGGTTCGAATATTAGTCGGAGTTAACAATTTTGTGATGAAACACGTCTTGTTAGGTCTGATTATTTATTTATTTTAAAACTTACATGTAACACCTTAAGCTAAAGGGTACATAGGGCGAACTTAATGCCATGTGGCATTCTCTGCCAGTCAACCCTGGGTGCCAAGTACAATTGTTGGCAGGTGCGACCATTATACATAAATAAGTGCACATACATTAAAATATACATATATAAGTACAATACAAAGTACATACATACACAATACATTTAAATATAAACACATATAGTATAAATATACGTACAATAATACACACACCCATATATATATATATATATATATATATATATATATATATATATATATATATATATATATATATATATATCACAGATCTGTTTGTCTGCTTTATTGACTATGAAAAAGCCTTCAACCGCGTTCAACATGGCAAGTTGATACTTCAGAAAATTGGCTTAGACTTCAACGACCGCCGATTCATAAAAAACTTATACTGGAGCCAGCGTGCAAATATAAGGGTCAACGGGAAATCATCGTCATACATTGACATAGAAAGAGGCGTACGACGAGGATGTATTTTGTCACCCTTACTGTTTAATTTGTATGCTGAAGCCGTATTTTCAGAGGCACTAGATAACAGTACAGACAGCCAATCAATTAATGGCAAATTGTTAAGCAACATTAGGTACGCAGACGACACGATATTAATCGCCGATAGTCTTGTGGGTCTTCAAAGGTTAGTAGATTCAGTGGCTTCCGTTAGTGTTGAATACGGTATTAACATCAATGCCAATAAGACGAAGTACATGGTAATAAGCCGAACACCTGAGCTTATCACGTCTTTATCCCTAAATGGTCAGGGTCTTGAACGGGTCACCAAATTCAAATATCTAGGCACAATGGTTGACGAAACAGGAGATCACAGCCTCGAAATACGATGCAGAATAGAGCAGGCACGCAACACCTTTTCGAGAATGAAGAAAGTTCTTTGGGACCGGAACCTAAGTATTTCTCTTCGAACACGCATAGCGCGGTGCTATGTCTTTTCTGTACTTCTCCATGGTGTAGAAGCTTGGACGTTGACAGAAGCCATGTCTAACAAACTGGAAGCGTTTGAGATGTGGGTGTACAGACGTATGCTAAAAATTTCTTGGAGAGACCGCGTACGAAACACCACCGTGCTACAAAGAATGGGGAAGGTCACAGAGATACTTACAACCATAAAGAGGAGGAAATTGGAATATTTTGGGCACGTGATGCGTAACACCAAAAAATATGAACTCCTTCAACTTATCATTCAGGGGAAAATGGCAGGCAGAAGGCGGCCTGGCCGCAGAAGGATATCGTGGCTGAAGAACTTGCGCCAGTGGTTCGGGAAGAGCACAAGATCACTGTTTAGAGCAGCGGTCTCAAAAGTTGAAATCGCCCTAATTATTGCCAACCTTCGCAAGGAGACGGCACCTTAAGAAGAAGAAGATATATAATCCAACAATTGTTGATCTATCAACGGTCGAAAAAAATCATACTGAATATGATTTTTTAGATCCAGAGTATATTTAATTTATATGCGACATTTACTTAGAATAAGTGGATCCGGAGCCATAATTGACGAATAGGTACTCGAACACGAAGCGGCAACGTCGCGTTCTGTGTGTGACAGAGAACCCAGTAGGCTACTTTGTTGTAGTAATAAGGTAAGAAAATGCGTTATCTGCTGATTTTGTGGATCACACTATGGCAGGTTTTATTGTGGAAAGGTGTTTGTTCCAGTTTTTGTTATCGTGTGAGTGAATTTGTGTTATTTTATTAAATTGTCATAGATCAAATAGAAGATGATGGATAGTACTTTATTACAAATTAATTTATCACTCGAGTACGTGTGTGTGTGTGTGTGTATGTGTGTGTGTGTGTGTGTGTGTGTGTGTGTGTGTGTGTGTGTGTGTGTGTGTGTGTGTGTGTGTGTGTGTGTGTGTGTGTTGCGCGTGTGTGTGTAAGGGTTTGGGGGTGCCATATAGTGCGCGCAAGTGTGTTTGCGTGTGTGTGTGTGTGTGTGTGTGTGTGTGTGTATGTGTGTTCGTTCGTGCGCGCATGTTTGTGTGAGTGTATGTGTGGGTGTGTGTGTTTGTGTCTGTGTTTGTGTTTGTGATCGTCTGAGTGTGTTTGTGTGTGTGTATATGTGTGTGTGTGTGTGTGTGCGCAGAAAACGGAGCCAGAGAATGGAGAAGTGGTGGAGGCGGATGTGAATGCAGCGTAGTTTGTGGTGAAGGCTTAGAGGAATTTGTGGTGAAATCGGAGATAGTGGAAACGGGGAGAGCGGGGTCAGAAGTGGGTCGACCTTAGATTGTGTTGGAGGCGAAAAGAATAGTGACGGCACGTGGTGGTGGTGGCGGAGGGAGAGGAGTTTATTGTTGAGGCGGAGGGAGCAGAGTTTATGGTGGAAGCGGAGGTAGCGAAGGTAGAGAACGAAGGCTTAGAGAGGGGTGCGGTGGTAGATGTCGAGGCGTAGGTGGCAGAGGTGGTGGTGGGTGCACTGGAGTGCAGTAAAGTGGGTACCGCGTGAGGGCAAATGAGGCTCACATAAAGGACAGTTGGTTACAGCGAAAAACAGTATGGCTGGTAAGTAGATATCGATACTGCCCATAAAGATGTTACGAGTACTACGAGGTTATTCATTTTTCCGAATATTAGCTTGGATACCTATTGGTACTAGAGACAAAGTGAAAAGAACTTTTTTTTTTAACGGTTTCATCATAACTAACAAAACAAACCCAAACTCGGCATACCTAGTTTTACTAGTCCACGTGTTACAGTATTGGTTACCGAAGTACACCTTCAGATCACTTCAGCAAGTCCGGAGGTAAGGACTCATCATAACTAACAAAACGAGCCCAAACTCAGCACACCCAGTTCCACTAGTCCAGGAGTTCCAGTAGCAATCCCGAATTACATTTTGAGGTCAATCCATCAGGACCGGAGGTAAGATCTCATGATAATATCTCATGTAATAGTTCGATTCTATACCTATCAATTTTGTAAACGCGTCCTTAAAAATCTTGATTATGAAGATGTAGAAAACATGTTAACAGGTTTATGGTAAACACACACACACACACACACACACACACAAACATGCAAGCGCGCGCAAACAGTGCACACACGCACACATGCACACAGCCGTACACATGAACACATGCGCGCACGCACACGCATTCACACATAAACACACACACACACACGCACACACACACACGTACACAAGCGAGCGCACATACGCACACGCACACATACACACACACGCGCGCGCGCGCGCATACACAAGCAGACAACCGCACAAACACACGCACACTGCCGCATACACACGTACTCAAAAAACACAACAGTGCACACACGCACACATACACATACACACGCGCACGCACAGCGTTCACACGAGGACACATGAATGCACGTACACCCACACGCACGCTCATACCCGCGCGCGCGCACACATACTAAAGCACGCGCGCGCGCGCGCACACACACAAACACAAACACGCACTCAGACGAATACCTTATATCACCGTTGCCACCACTTCCGTTACAAAAAGGGGCATTGTCGAGTTATTCGTTAATTAAAATTCGTTTATTTCGACCACAAGGATCATAGATGTTAGTAATAAATTGTTAGTAAAAAAATTAAAATAAAGATCAATAATACAAATCATAAAACTAATTTTAGTTAATTTTAAAACTTAAAACTATTTACCTAATTTTAAAACTATATCTAAGACAGGCCCGATTAGTAAGCAGGTGCACCGTATGACAATGGTTCAGATACTGACCTCAAACCTGTCAGAAAATGCCCTCAGGATACCATTGGAACTGGCCCGCACCCCGCGCACCAGGGATGTGCATCGTTTACGCATGGTAGTGTAGAAACAATCCACACGCGCATCCGCGAATATACCCACCGCATTACAATAACGAGGCAGACCCAACAGCACCCTGAACGCATTATTGTATTGAACACTCATTTAATCTGTAGCTTGTACCGCCAAAGATACGAAACGGCAACGTCGCGGCTGCATTCAGCCCATCCGATCGTTTATCTTATAGTTTGCTGTGCTCTGATTGGCTCATTTATATCGGAATAACATTTTCCGTAACCATTGCAAGGTGGATTTGTATATCGGATCAACTTCGGCAAACGCTAGAAAACAGTCTCGTGAGTGCAGATGTTGATCCGGGCGG